AGAGAGAGAGAGAGAGAGAGAGAGAGAGAGAGAGAGAGAGAGAGAGATCTGGAAAATAAGGCAAGTAGAAACAGTTTAACACACTCTTTCTCCTAAAATACTTTGGCAAGGTTAGAGGCAGGTAGCAAGTGAGCAGGGAGGCCACCCCTTGCCATGTCACATGTCCTGTCCATACATGGCTGTTTTGCTCTCTGTTTCCATACTGACGGGGCCTTAGTTTTGGCCAATAAATTCAGGCTCAGTTCTTTCTACCAAGAATCAGTCCTGTTCTTCAGTGTATGGCAGTGAGCAAGTTTGAAGAGAAACTAATGTCCCAGGCTCTCCCTATGTCATCCCAAGTCCTAAATTCATCAGCATTTTCCTTCTCAGTCTTGTTACATTTCCACAACAGGGTTGCCTTGGGGTTTGTTACAGTGGGGTGTAGTAGCAGACTGGGTGGATGTGGAAAACAAGGGGAGCCAGACAGGAGGACTTTTCTTTTACAGTGTTCTTTCTGAAGGGTCTTGCCGATGCAACTGGAGATTGTACGCAACAGCCTGTGGCATTCAGCTTTCAACCAAGAATCGTTAACTCACAAGAGTTGATCTCATTAGCCACGGGACAATGTTCCACCTGTGCATGTATGTATGCATGTCTCGTGTGTGTATGTGTGTGAGTATGTTTGTGTGAGTGTGCCTCTCTGTGACTGTGCTTGTGTGAGAGAGTGTGTTTGTGAGTGTGTGTATTTGTGTGTGTTGTTGGGAATTGAATCTAGGGTTAGACAAGTGCTCCATGACTGAGTGATAGCCTCATCCCTATCTTTTTACTTTGTACTTTTATAGCAGGATCTCACCCTGCATCATCAGCTGACCTGGAACTTCCCATCCTCTCGCCTTGGGCTTGCCAGGAGGTGGACTGTAGACACGCACCACTAAGGTGAGTTTGCTCTGTGCACTGCGAGCCTTCCTCTCTTCCCTGTCTTCTTCCTGCAGAGGCCAGGGTAAGATGGATGAATGTGTTTCATTTGAATACATCAATAAGTACAGTCAAGAAACCCAGATGCTTTCATTGAAAAGCTGTGTGACCTGGGAAAGATACTTATCACGTCTGTATTTTTTAATATGAAATTAGGAAAGATACTAAGCTCTGGTATGTTTAACCTCAAGATATTTTTTAAATCCCTCCATTAAAGAATTGAAAATGAGTTTAAATGGCAGAGGAGAAGCGAGGAGAGGAGAGGAAGAGGAGGGGAGGGAAACCAGTGGGAAAACTGTAGTCTACTGAAAATTTAAAAAAAAAATACAGTTTTTAAAAAGCTAGAGAAAGCAGCAACTCCAAGTCAAGCATCTACCCTGTCTTTAGCAGTGAACACACAAATGCTGTAAAAGTTAAATTTTGTTACATAAAGCATGTAAATTCACTGTCCTTAAACAATATCATCATGTTCCCAAAAGTACTCAGGACAGCTAGGCTACTACAGTTAGTGTATTTCTAAACATATTAAATATACAAATAAACACATTCATATTTTATTACTCTGTGTGTGTCTTGGTGTGTGTGTGCACACACTTGTGTGCACATGTTTATGTTTGCCAATGTACATGATCTGAGTAGAGGTCAGAAGGCAGCTTTGGTAGTTGGGCTTTCTACTTTTACCACATATGTTCTGAGTATCTAGCTCAGGTAGTTAGGCTTGGTGACAAGTCCCTTTATCCACTGAACCATCTTATTACCTTGTCAGCCTCAGGGTTTTTTTTTTTTTAAATGAAGGGCTAGCATACTTAATACTTCTATATTTCATTTCACTTAGTAATACATTTTGGAGATTTCTTTGTATCTGTCATACAGAACTGCCTTAATCCTTTTTAATAGGTATTGCTGTTAAAGGATTCCATCAAGGGCTAGGGATGTAGCTGAGTTTTTAGTGTTTATATATGTGTATGTATGTATGTGTATGTGTGCATGTATGTGTGCATATGTGTACATGTGTACATGTGTATATGTTTATATGCACATTGTGTAATTGTACGTATGCATATGTGTATGTAAGTATGTATGCATGTGTGTATGTAAGTATGTATGCATGTGTGTATGTGTATATGTGTGTCTGTGCATATACATGTGCATGCATATGTATATGTGTGCATATATGTACATATGTATGTACGTATATGCTATGTATATGCATATATGTATATATTTATGTATGCGTATAATTGTATGCATGTATGCATGTACATGTATATGTATGTGTGAATGTAAGTATGTATGCATGTATATAAGTATGTGTGTATATGTGTATGTATGTATGTGTGTCTGTGTATGTAAGTGTGTGTCTGTGTATGTATACATTAACATATATATATATATATTTGTTGTCAATTAGTCTTCTTCTCACCAGCAGCCACTAACTGACCTTGTGTCCCTACTGTGTTCTTTGAATGTTTTATATATGGAATCATATACTGTGGATCTTTGGGTCTGACTTCTTTTGCTGAGTCTGATTTGAGAGCGTTCATCCATGTCACATCATGTACATTCTTTGTTCCTCTCATTACTCAGTTGTATGACCATTCACCAGTTGGATATTCTGGTTGTTTCTAATTTTTGGTACTCTGAATAATTCTGCAAATGCTGTTTGTGTGAAGCTTCTGTGTAGATGGATGTCTTCACTTCTCTTGGCAAGGATTTCTAGGTGTAGAATTGCTAGTTCATTAGGTAGATTCATGTTTAATTTTTAAAAGAAGCTTAAATTGTTTTTCACAACGTCTTTACTATTTTTACACTCTGCCGGGGAGACTCAGGGGCTGCTTCTCTTCTTTGCACATCCTTGCTGACATGCAGCCCTCCTGGCAGGTGTGTGGTGGCATCTGACTGGGACTCTGATTTAGATCTCATTAATGACTAAGGAGGCTGAGCATCTTTTCACAGGTTTGTTTTCTTGTCTTTATTTTTCATGTACAACTTAGCATCATACCCAAAAGAGAGCATGACATTCGAGTGCCAGCTCACCTGGGCCCATATCACATTGTGGTCCTGTCACTTTCACAGCCCTCTGTGATGAACCAAAAAAAAAAACCAGCAATAACAACAACAACAACAACAACAACCCCCAAACCAAAGGACAAACAACACTCCCCCAAAACAACAACAACAACAAAAACACCACCAAGCCAAACCAAACCAAACCAAACCAAACCAAACCAAACCAAACCAAATCACATTAACAAAAAACCCAACAACAACAACAACACCACCTGTACTTTTTCAAGTGTTTGAGATGCCTTTGAGTACCTGCCTATAGACGCATACGTTCTTTCTACCAATTTGAGTAAAAGACATTATTTTTATAATTTTTCAGACATCAAGTTCAAAGTCACAAGTATTAGACAACACTCACACAGTGTTGTCTTACTATTCAGAAGACCTTTATAAAATGTGAATAGTACTATATTTCCATCACCTCTTCCCTTCCCTCTTCCCCTCCAAGTCCTCCCATGCCTCACCACTCCCCCCACAAGTCACAACCTTTTGCTTAATTATTTGTGTGTATGTGTGTAATTTCTCCCAAGTGCTCATCTCTAAACATGTACATTATATGTTCTTTTTAAGAGCATGAATGTATATATTTAGAATCTGTACAATTAAAAGCCTGTATCAGTTTTTAAAAAGTAAGAAACTTGCCCTGAATCATACAGGGAAAAAAAAGAAAGGAAAGCAGGGAGGGATTGAAAATCTGATGTTCTTTTGGGCTAATATGCTTTTTTTTTTTAAAAAGATTGATTTTGAAGCCCACCTATGACTTCTTCCGCTAATGCCATTAATTCAGCATTAATTTGTCACCTCCAGCACATTCAATACCGTTTGTCATCTCTAGCATAGAACAATAAATGTGTCATTCTCACCTTCAGAGAAGCCACGAAACATGAACCACAGCCCGACTTAACTGTCCCTTTTCTTCAGGGAACAGTCAGTGCCCAGTGACTGAGGCTCGTGGCAACTAACCCAACCTTGTGAGTCAAACATACTGTCAGTGCTTTCACGTGTGGGGCAGAACTGGCAGGAAGTGGTCACCTATGGAGGAGTTACAGCTCAGGTATGGGGGGTGGGGGGAGTTTCTCACCACCATTTCAGCTTTGTGAGCCCTTTCTTTCCATTCGACCCACAGCAGTGGTCCTAGGAATAAGAGTGGGAGGAAACTTGCTCTGCAAATTACTTTCCCAGTGAGCGCGACTCCAGGAGACATGTTTACCTGTTAATTGGCGTATCACTTTACAAAACAGCAGCACTGCCGTAACCCACAGCAGAAAAGGAAACTCGTGAAAAAGCAGTCTCGCTCGAGAGCCTCCAGATTACCTTTATATCAGCTGCCCACGTAACAGTCTTAGGAGGCAGCCCATGTGGGCTCTGAGCCTTCTGTTACCATTCCTGGCTGACAGACGAGGAAATAGGTTTGATACTTGGTCCAGGTAAGCCAGAGAGCAGCGTCTATATTTGTTCCTGGCAGGATAGGTTTGGTCCAGAAGCCTAGGATGTCTTCTGCTCAGGAGAGCATTTTCTAGCTGTGAGATCCCCCAGAATCACTGAGTAAGTCTTGTAGGAATGTGGAGAGTCAAGGTAGTCATCTTATTGCCAGCAGTAGTTCCCAAGAAGTATTGCATACTGGCCTCAAAAGGTAATGACGTTCATCAGCACGCATTACAATGCAGACAGACTCGACAGTATTATGCTGAGTGGAAGATTCTGATTGTATGACATGTCCAGAAGGGGCAAACCCACATAGAACCTAACAGAAACAGAACACAGCTTAGTGGTTGCTGAAGGCTGTGTGGACTAGGACTTGGCATAGAGGTGGTGAGAGGGGGAGATGTGAGGTTATTTTGGGGGTAATGGCGTATTCTAAAATTGATTGTGGTAACGATGGTCGCACAAGCCAGTTATAATGAAAGTCATGGAGTCATAACTTCTCGGTGGGTGAAGTGTGTGGTATATTAATTTTCTCCATACAGATGTGTTTTAACATCACCCTGGGTCAATAAGTCACAGGAGGTGCCATTTCCAACTTGAAGTCACAAGTCTGTAGGTTTGCCAAACCTTGTTCCTTCCCTGCATGGAATTTGCTAGACTGTTGCAAAATACCATTAAAAAATGGGGCTCTGGGGAGGTAGCCCAGCAACAGGGGACTTCCTAGCATGTGCAGGCCCTGGGTTTGATCTCCAGCACTGCAGATGTGAAATTCAAGGTGAAAAAACAAAAGTGCCTTAGATTTGTCCTTACTGTCCTGTGTGTACCTCCGATTCTAAAATTATCTCCTCAGTATTACTGAGCAATAGCAACTCTAACATCTTAAGTATGCCTTTAAATACATAAATAAATCTCGCCAGATGTGGGGACACATACCTTTAATCCCAGCACTCAGGAGGCAGAGACAAGTGGATCTCTGGAAGTTCTAGACCAGCCTGGTCTACAGAGAGTGTTCCAGGACAATCAGAGCTGCTACACAGAGAAACACTGTCCCCAAAAAACAAACAAATGAATAAATAAATCTCAACCCAGTTTTATAGCTCCGGCTTCTACGACCAACTTAAACCTCTAGTGAGGAACAACTTATACTGTTGTTGAAGAGCTGTTTCTTCTGCCTGTTCTGCAAAGGTGGGCCCTCCCAGCAGCGTGAGGATGACATATCCCCACTGGCTTTTCTTGTTCTGTACTTATTCTGAACTATTATCACTGTAAGTCAACAATGCCCCTTGCCTCTCCGTCTCTATGTTTGTGTCTGTCTGTCTGTCTGTCTGTCTTCTCTCTCTCTCTCTCTTCCTTCCCCCCTTCTCTCCTCTTTCTCTTGTTTCTGTCTTTCTGTGTTGGGGATAAGGCCCAGGGTCTCCCACGTGACAGGAAAATATTCAGCCATTGAGTGATACATTTGTCTTCAAGGTTTTTTTTTTAGAGCATTTTCTTTCTCATAAAAGATGAATTATAAGAATTTTTAAGTTTTGAAAATTTTGAAACTTTTAAAGGTACTTCTTTCTGATTGGGAACCTTTCCAATGACACATTGCTATGACCACTAAGAAATATCCACAGGTTCACGTCTGTGGGCTTAACCACCTTTAGATCAAAATTATTTTGGAATAAAATTGTATATGTGCTGAAAAAGTAGACTCTCCCCATCCCCACTACTCCCTAAATGAGGCTTTCTAACTACTTTTTTTACATAGCACCTGTGGCATCCTGGGCATTGTAAGCAATCCAGAGATGGTTCAAAGAACAAGAGGATACACATAGGTTATGTGCAGACACTTTATCATTTTATATAAAAGACTTGAGCATCCTTGGATCTTCATATCTCAGGACACTCCTGGTAATAATCCTCTGTGAAAAGTGAGGATAGGCTGATAGATAAGAATTAAATATTGGCTTTAGGACAACAGGTGTAGACTCCTCAGTCACCAGACGTGCTTGTAAGCTAATCTAGAATGGAGTGGCAGGGGAATTCTCTTGCTGTTCTGTGGAAATAATTTGCCACACACTGAGATAGGTTCACCTGACTCTTATATGAGTTGAATATGATGGGTTACTCAGGGACTCCAGATGCTTCAGGCTCCCCACATACATGTTTACAGAAGTTCTGTAATCCAAAATATCGGAAGTGTAGTCCCATGTCTCTTAACAGATTCCAAAAGGACTCACACTCAGAAGGTATTCTTTTTCAAACCTTTGCCATTTCCCTTGACAGGTCCTAGCAGGCACCAGGCGTGTCAAATTTCTCTTCCAGGCCGAGTGTTCATGGCTTTTCTTGCTTTTTGATGCTAACATGTACCACCTTCAGCTCTGCAGCATTTTCTACCCACTAAGTGAATCTGGAACCTCAGGCTTAAGCACAGACCTGCAGAACACGGAGGGAGGATAACAGCAAGTTCTCTTAGACGCATGTCTTTACCTGGATGTGCAGAGAGTGAAGGGTTTCAAGCAGAGGCAATTTTGGACTCACCTTTTTCTAAACCAAACAGAACATCTTAAAGGGATGGTGCAAACCTCAACAATAGCTGGAGAGGCCTTAGAAGGCATTTGTGAGCGATGGAACGTCCAGCCCTTGTGAGTGGAATGTTCTGGGGTGTCCACTAGGTAACGTCACACAGGAACACAGATCTAGATCTAGATGCCAAGGTCAAGAGGGCCACCACTCTAAATTCTGGTCCTACTTGAGTAGGGAGCCCCTTGGTCTTCCAGAGCTGGTTCCTGTCAATGGGCAAGGGTCCTTCCACACAGTGAAACCCCCTGGACTTGGTCTCCTCTCCTCACTCCTGCTCATCAAAGGTGGGGTGGGTGCCAGTGAGACCTTTGGCTAATGCTAGGAAGCATTTCTCTGTCAGCCATCTCTCCAAGTATTAGACAGTCAGAAAAACTGAGAGGAAAGGGCAGAGACTAAGTGGGTGAAAGGTTGAAAGTTGGCATTCGCGCCTCGTAAGGGTGACAAGTGAATGTTGAAAGTTCCGAGGCTGACATCCAGGCTGTCTTCGGGTACCAGCTCCCCTAGAATGACCATTTCAGTTTCCAATACCCTCTTCTCCATTCTTGCTCCCCACACGATGGTGGTTCTTGCCCTCTTTCTGAGCTCCGTGGTGTTTGAGGGTTGCAAGGGGAAGTGAACGCCTATTGTTTGGATAGACACGGTTCTGGTTTCAAAACTTGGGCCTCTATAAAAGGCAACTTTGGCGGGAGACGCTGACACGAGTCTGTAGGTAGAATAGGAAAAACAAGTCCTCTGGATTCAGATCCACCTGCATTCTCAGGGCTACCAAAGAGCAATGCAAGGGGGGACCCGTGTTCCTTCAGTGTCACTCTATACAGTCCCGAAGGCAGGCAGCCTCAAGGCAGCGGCCACTTGTTGTGATATCTTCAGCAAGTTGATGAAGCTTCTAGAATCTCATATTCCTATGGATGCAATCTGAGAGGCACTGACAACCACTCCCCAGTTAATTTAGGAGTCGTAAAGTGATCTGGCATTACCTGGTGACTAACAAGTCTGTGATGTCTGTGTCTACCAAAGAGGGCACGCTTTGCTCCAAAGCACTCAAGCCCAGTACATCCCCTCTCCTGGAGTGTTCAAAAGGGTCAGTAGCTTCCAGATTTCAACATCTCTCCCATCTGGAGTCAACTCCTTTTGGGAGAAGTAAATATATGTATGCATTTTGTGTTTTTTGAGATAAGATCTCATCCAGTCTACATTGGCTTCAGACTTGCTGTGTATCCAAGGATGATCTTGAACTCCTGAACCTCCTGTCTATACCTCCAGAGTTTTGCATTTCTATCCTGGTTATGTGATGTTGGGCGTGGAACCCAGGACTTTGTGCGTGCTGGAAAAGCACTCTCTCAAGTGAGCTATAGTCACAGCCTACATAGCAAGAAGAGAGAGCCAGAGAGAGCTGCAGACTCATGGGCTTACTCTCTCTCAGCTTGGGCTTTCATAGCTTTGGAATAGCCCCAACACTGTTCAATTTGTGATTCTCAGGTAGGGCTACCCAACTCCACCCCAATGGACACTTAACATTGCCATTGAAGAAAATGGAGTGCCGGGCATCTAGCGGATGGAGATAAGGGAGACTGAAAAATGACTAGGGATGTGTAAGGGGGCCCTTAACACACCGTCCCAAAGGTTCTCTCCTCTAGGAAGGCTGCTGAGGACCTTCCATGTGCCTACCGTCTCAACTGCAGTTGGCCAGCAGGGCCACACCACATGGTACCTGGGATGCCAAAGGAGGTCAGAGTGATCACAGAACATATAGTGATGGCAGCCTTGCTTGTGTTTCAGATCACGTGGCATGAAAGGATGACAGACCCAAGCTGCCTCCCGAGGCACACACTGTGTTTTCTATCAACCTTACTTTCCCAGAAGGTTCCGGAGAAGTCTGACATCGTGCTTCGATGCGTGATAGCTGGTAATGACCCCTAGACTAGCCACCACTCCCCCTAGACTTGCTGCTTCTCAGACTAACTACTGCTCATCCTAGCCGAGCTGCTAGTCAACCTAGACTAACTACTCACTGCCCCACCTCTCTGCCTGGTTCATACCCTATACCTCTCTGCAGACCAGGGTTATTGGTCAAAGGCAATGAAAACTACATTTGAGAAAATTACCTTAGAAATTTATTCTGAGTAATCGATTAAGCAACTCAATCCTCTGTGAAGTTTTTCCAAGTGACTTTCTGGATACTCAGTAATTGCCTCACCTCATGCTGTGGTTCTTGGTTAGGCAGCCCCCTCACTGGCTGATTTGCAAACAATCTACTTGTCACTTGCTGTGCCATCCAGGAACAACTTGAATAATTTCATGTCATCAAACTGAGCTCTTCTCACAGTGTCTAGCAATGTCTGTGGGCTGGCTGAATTTGCCTCCCACTGACGCCATCCTCAGGCATGCTGGCAAATAAAGAAGAATTTAAAACCAAAACAAGAGGCGCTCAGAGGAGGTAAAGCCAAAGATGGGAATAATCCCCGGACGGGAGACTAGAGCACTCAGAGCTGATGATTGGGTATTAGTGGCCCAATGGTAAAGGGGTTTCATTAAAGGTAAGGGGGCAGAGAGATGTCGCAGGTGATAAAAACACACGCAGCGTGAGCCTGACAGCCTGAGTTTGTTCCCTGCATCCCAAGAAGGAGAGAACTGACTCACGCAGACTTCCACAAATGTGTTGTGACACTCTCAACACACGTGCATGTGCACATCCATGCCCACAGAGAAAGAGAGAGACAGAGAGAAAGACAGGAACAGAAAGATAGAGACAAAGAAAGAGTTACAGAGAAAGAGACACACACAGAGATCCACAGAGGGAAAGAGATACATATATGTATACATACACGTATACACACACACACAAAGGGGAGAGAGGGAGAGATACACACATGCACATACAGAAATACAGAATAAAAACAGTAATTTGACAGAGAGGTATTTTTTAAATCTATGTAGATGATTCGTTTCTTTCTTAGATTATATTGCTACCCTTGAAAACCCAGGCGCTACACCCTTGGTGCTTCCTTAGGGCAGGCAGAAATCCCTTATCCCCTTAGCTTCTCTTCCGAACTCAGAGGAGAAGGGTGGCCATAGAAATAACTGCCCTGTGCAGAAGTCAAGGTGAAACCTTGCCTTTGGTCTGGAGGCAGGTGTAGCCATCCACACTCAGTCTCTCCAGCTCCACAGCTGGCTTTCTCAGAGCTCTTGGATGATTGCTCAGACAGAAGGAGAGACACACGCTGACCCTGAGTCTTCTGAGAGAACCTCCATAACTCGGTCACTGGTCCTCACACATAGTAGCTAGATCATTTAGAATGGTTCAGGCAGTGACTCATAGGGAGGTTCAAAGCAAGAAGAGGAAGGCCGGGGCTGGAGGAGTATTGCATAGTGGTAGAATGCTTGCCTAGCATGCGTGAGACCCTGGGTCCCATCTTTAGCACTAGAAAACAAAAGGAGAAAGGAGTTTTAGGTGAGTTTTCCAGGAGAAAAGAGAACCTTCCAGAAAGTCTAAGCTACCATTTCCCTATGCACATCTCATTTCTGGCTGATGGTGTAGGCTCAGACACACGCACAGGGAAAAACCCTGGCAGCAATCAGGAAACTGAAGGAGAGCAACCAGCCCTGAACATTCTGAATCAACAGCCCTGGAGGTCAAAATGTTCCAGGGGCCAGATCTCACATACTTTACATTCTTTCTTGGTGTGTGTGTGTGTGTGTGTGTGTGTGTGTGTGTGTGTGTAGGTAGGTAGGTAGGTACATTTACACTTGCATGCCATAGCTCACATGGAAGGTCAGAGGACAATCTGTGGGAGTTGGTTCTTTCCTTCTATCATGTGGGCCCCAGGCTTGAAACTCAGATAATCAGGCTTGGTAACAAGTGCCTTTACCCACTAAGCCATCTTGTAGGCCCATATATATAAACTTTGTTCTTTCAGGTTCAGGTTTGAGCACTGTTACGTATAATTTCCAATGCGCTTGGGGTGTAGCTCAGTGGCAGGACCCTTTCCTGGTTATGGTTTCTGTTGCTGTCATAAAACACCATGACCAAAAACAAGCTAGGGAGGAAAGGATTTATTTCACCTTACACCTCTAAGGTCACACTCCATCTCATTGAGGGAACTCAGGGTAGGAACTTCAAGGTGGAAATTGAAGCTAAGACGTTCCATGAAAGGGAGCTGCTTACTGTCTTGCTCTCTATGGCTTGCTCAGCCTGCTTTCTTGTAGCACCCAGGACCACCAGTCCAGGCATAGTGCCACCCACAGTGAGCTGAGACCCCCCACATCAATCATCAATTAGGAAAATGCCCACAGGTTTGCTCACAGGTTAATCTGGTGTAGACATTTTCTGAATTGATGTTCCTTCTTCCAAAATGAGTCTAGCTTGTGTCAAGTTGACATTAAACTAGCCATCACGTTCAATAATTGCAATATTAAGAATTGCACCACACACATAAAAAATTAATTTTCTCAAAGGTAATGTGGGGATCTCAAGAGATGGCTTAGAAGCTAAAAATGTGCACTGCTCTTGGAGAGGACTGAAGCTTGCTTTTCAGCATCCACACTGGGTGGCTCACAACTGTAACACCAACTCCAGTGGAATCCTTCTGCCCTCCTTGGGCACTGACACTCATGTGCACACGTTCATGCACAGATACACACATATAGCTAATAATAAAAACAGATCTTTGAAAGACATGAAAGCAAAGTGATCTCTGTGTACAATAAATGATCAAAGGTTTTGTTAACTCTTTAGTATCTATAAGAACTAGAGAATATGAAGCCTGAAAAACTGAATATTTATAGGCATTCAAAAATGTCAGGAGCACATACATGGGCTTAGTATAATACTATTTACTATCCTGTGGGGCAGCAAAACCTTTCAGTGTTATCTTTCTATTAGACCGATATTATTTGTATCTCTGTTGGGTAAAACTTACAAGATGACAAATGAGGTCACCAAATCTAAAAATTTTAATCAGTCCTATTGCTGAGTTACTTTGGCCCCATGTGACATGGAAAATCAAATACCATCTATATCTTTGTCTCTTGTATTTTTTTTAAAAAATTGACCTCTACTGTTCATATATTTAAATTTTAATTCTATCTATCTATCTCTATGTATCTATGTATGTATGTATGTATGTATCTATCTATCTATCATCTATCATCTATCTATCTATTTTGTGGAATGGGGTACATACATGCATACCACAGAATGCATTTGGAGTTCAGAGGTCAGAGGCCAGCTTATGGGAGTCAGCTTTCTCCTTCCACCATGTGGGATCCAGGAAGCAGACTCGGCCATCAGACTTTAGTGGCCAGAGCCTTTATCTGCAGAGTCATCTCCCTGATCATCGACCATAGTTTTGGAGACTAATTTTATTTTGAATAATTAAAAAATATTTTCTTATGATTAGAGACAGTGGTTTTATTCTGCATCTCATTAACATATCCCATTGTGCTCTTGCCTAGGCCTTCTTAATTCCCATTTATAGCTTTACAACCTAAATATTATTATTTTTTCCCCTCAGGTCAGCCCAAGCCAGAGGTGACTTGGTACAAGAATGGTGAAGCCATCGAGAAGGGAAGCAGTATTTCCAGCTATGAGTTCTTTGAGAACCAGTACATTCATTTGCTCCATCTCTCATGGTAAGCAGTGTGGCTTCTGTGAACTGTTCACTAACTGTCTGTCTTCCATGCTGTGCTGGCTTCTATGAGATCAGGCTGAAAGACTTCCTTCTGAGGTCCTGCTCTTAGATGTTACTGGTGGGCAACAGTCAAAGCATCCAGCAGGGACTAAAGTGGTCCCTCTATATGATTGGATTATCTGAAGATTTGATCATCCATGGGTTGAAAATACTTTTAAAAAATTCTCACTGGGGTGAGTGACAGTTGTATGGTTTGGTCTGTTTGTGGGACCCCTGGCAGCGGGCCTAGGCTTTATCCCTGGTGTATGAACTGGCATTTTGGAGCCCATTTCCTATGGTGGGACACCTTGCTCAGCCTTGATGCAGTGGGGAAAGACTTGGTTCTACCTCAACTCGATATGTTAGGCTTAGTTGACACCCATGGGAGGCCTTACCCTCTCTGAGGACAGGATGGGGGATGGGGGAAGGCGATGGCAGCAGGAGGAAGGGAGGGAGGGGGACTGTGATTGGTATGTAAAAACAATAAAGAGAGAGAGAGAAATCTCATTGGGACTGGACATACTTATCTTCTTCATTTGCTAGATCCGTGATTATTAACCCTTTGGGGCTGAACAACCCTTTCACAGGGGTTGCCTAAGACTATTGGAAAACATAGATATTTACATTGTGATTCATTACAGTAACAAAATTATAGTTATGAAGTAGCAGTGAAAATAATTTTATTATTAAGGGTCATTACAACATGAGGAACTGCTTTAAAAGGTCAAAGCATTAGGAAGGTCGAGAACCACTGACCTAGACAAGATAGTACACTAGTAATTTATGTATAATTTACATAGTATTAGGCATTAGAATTAACATAGGGGTGATTTATACAAATACTATGTCATGTTATATAGGAAGAGACTTGAGCATTGTCAGGGTTGGCTGTCCTGGAACAGAGATCTCCCTAGGATACTAAAGGGTAACTATATTCATTGAGCTCAGTAACTTTTTAACCTTCTCTAGTTTGCCATTGATAAAGTTAAATTTTATCTAGAATTATTTCCCTTTATTAGATGAGTTTTTCATCTACTCTTGTTCTCTCTGGGAAGTTAAGAAAGTGTGATAAGATTTCAGCACTGTTATCCAACCTTCCATATTGGATACAGGAGATAGATGTGATTGACCAGAACCTACAGCAAGTGGGTAAAGGGACTGAAGATAGAAACCAACTTTCAGACTTTGTTTTTAGGAGGTAGAGGCAGGAGGGTAAGGAGTTCAAGGTAAGCCTGAGATGTGTGAGATCCTGCGCCCGGCGGGGGGGACCCGGTCAAGAACAAATAAGTAGCCACCGTTCAGTACAGTAGTTTCTAGGTCTTTTTGTTTCCCTGGGAGATATTTGATTTCATGCAATGTGGAGGCCAGAGATGTAGAGAAGACATAACTGTTCTTTAAGAACTGTTAGGGAGTCTGTGCCCTTGGTCCCTATGTTAGCTATCTTTCTCGTTGGTGTGATGCCCATCAGAAGACATTTAAGAAGGAGGGATTTATTTGGAATGCAGTTTGAGGGGACACATTCTGTCATGGCAGGGAAGGCACGGAGAATCAAGAGGTCTACTAGTCACATCGTGTCTGCAGTTGAGAGTGGATGGGAAGAGGGGCTGGGTGGTGAAACCTCAGTGCCTGTGTCCGGTGACCCACTTCTTCCAGTGAGGCACCATCTACCTCTTCAAGGTTCTGTAACCTTCCCAAACAGCATCACCAAATGGGGACAAAGTTTTCCAGCACACGAACCTATGGGAGACATTTCATGCTCTTATGTTAGTATCCCCCAATGCTACTGAATGCCCTTAAGCAGCTCTAGGGAGACTGGCAGCACTGTGGAGCACGGGGGTGACTGGTGGGCACGAATGTGTGCCATAGGCCAGGGCCTGAGAAGAGGAAAGCAGGACTTGAGTTTCATTTCCATGGTTTTCATTTTCTTGCTCTGTGTCCTTGGTCAATTGCTTAGCCTCTCACTTTCTCTGTCTGCAAAAGGAAAGTCTGACAAGAGAACGGAATACTTCCGAGTTTGTAAATTTTCATATAACAGGCGTAGATAGCTACTAACTTGCTTTCTGGTTTTGGATGTTTTTATTTTGTCTATTTATTTTGTATGCTCACGTGCCATGATGCACAAGCAGAAGTCAAGAACAGCCCCCAGGAGTCAGTTCTCTTTAACAGGTGGGCCCCAGAGACTGAACTCGGGTCTGCAGGCTTGGTGGCAGGCATGTTTCCCAGCAGAGCCGTCTCCCAGGCACCTCCATGAGCTTTCCCATCACGCATGTGCCTTCTTGTTGAAAGTAAGCGCAAAGCTCGTCTCACCGTGGTGAACTCTTGTGACTTAGCAGTCTATCGAGGCTGGCATCAAACTAAAGCACATTCATCAGACGATGCAGCAGGCTTTGCACCAGACGCTGAAGATGGAGGTGAATAACAAACACTGTCTACATTCCTCACAAACCACTCACTTCAGCACAGAAGACAGGCAGTAAACAAATGGAGCCATTCTCCTCTCACCAGGTCAGATCTAGCAGGCAGCTAAATTGATTTTATTGAGCTCTACATTTTTCTCTGCTCTCCTCCCTTTCTCTCCCCTCCTCTTCAACCCTCTCCCATGGTCCCCATGCTCCCAATTTACTCAGGAGATCTTGTCTTTTACTACTTCCTATGTAGATTAGACCCATGTATGTATCTCTTAGTGTCCTCATTGTTGTCTAGGTTCTCTGGGATTGGGATTTGTAGGCTAGTTTTCTTTGCCTTGTTTTTAAAAACCACTTATGAGTGAGAATATATTGTAATTGTCTTTCTGGGTCTGGGATATCTCACTCAATATGATGTTTTGTAGCTCCATCCAATTGCCTGAAAATTTCAAAGTGTCATTATTTTTTTCTGCTGTGTAGTACTCCACTGTGTAAATGTACCACATTTTCCTTATCCATTCTTTGGTTGAGGGGCATTTAGGTTGTTTCCAAGTTCTGACTATGACAAACAAAGCTGCTATGAACATAGTTGAGCACATGTCCTTGTGGTATGATTGAGCATCCTTCGGATATATAGCCAAAAGTGATATTGCAAAAAAAAAAAGTCATTACTAATGCACAGTAATCTGCTGGATTACCTCATGGGGTATCTGAATTTGGATTTGGGATCATTAAAAGTGATTCCCGAGTCTTCACAAGCACTTGTTTCTCAAGAGCTTTTTGGGGGAGGTTTACAGACCCAATCTCAGTCCTGCTCTGTGGCAGTTTTAGCTACTTTTCTCATGACTGTGACAAAATAATCCACAAAAGCAAGGAGGAGGGACTTGGGTTCATACTCTCAGAGGACACAGTCCACCGTGGAAGGGAAAGCATGATAGAGCATCTTGGTTTGAGGCACTGGGAGCCTATAGCTTATACCAGTTCGCACGTCTTTAGCAGGTTGAGAAAGGACCAGAAGTGGGGCTGGAATATAACCTTCAAAGGCCAACTTCCAGTGACCCACTTTCTGTAGTCCAACCCACAACCTCCTAAAACAATGTCACCGTATGCTCAAACATACAGGTGTGTGTGTGTGTGTGTGTGTGTGCATGCGCGCACACTTCTCAGGTTGAAACCATAGCAGGGAACAGACGCTCTGTTTACTGACATTTGGCTTTTTCCTCTTTTCAGTACCTTTTGGGACTCCTTCTCCACTCCCACCCCGGTTCTCCTCAAAGTCTCTTACTGGGGAGACGCATCAGTGCTTACCCAGTACCGGGTCGAGGGTGTTTGTCAGGGATTAGAGACAGCAGAGAGCTAGTAAAGTGTCCAAGAGAGAAACACCAACCCTACCATGAGCTCCTACAAACAGCCTGAAAGCATTTTTTTTTCTTTAGAGATATAGGAATTGGGAGGGGAGGAGGCGAACACTACTGAATGTTTTCTAATGCATAATGAAAGCAAACAGCGCCAATGTGTGTGTACAAATGGGAAACTGTGTGACCTCTGCTCAAGATCAGCACCTTGAGAGACTGATCCTGTTCTAGTTAGCGTTATCATTGCTGTGATGAAGCAGCATGACCAGAAGCAGTTTGGCGAGGAAAGGGCCTATTTGGCTTATGCCTCCACATCATTGCTCATCACTGAAGGAAGTCAGGACATGAAATCAAACAGGGCAGGAACCTGGAGGCTGGAACTGAGGCAGAGGCCATGGAGGGGTGTTGCTTACTGGCTTGCTCCTCCTGGCTTGTTCCTCTTGCTTTTTTTACAGAACCCAGAACCACTAGTCCAGGGTGGCCTCACCCATAAAGGGCTAGGCCCTCCCCCATCAATCACTAATTAAGGAAATGTGCTACAGGTTGCCCTCAGCCTGGATTACGGAGGCTCCCAGCTCTCTGATGACCCTAGTTTGTGTAAAATAGACATAAAACCAGTCATAAAAAAACCAACATAAAAGCATATCTCTCTTGGCCATAAAAATATTTTTATTGTTGCTGATTTTTTTTAAAAGTTTTTAGACAGGGTCTCACTATGTAGGCCTGGAACTTACTATGTAGACCAGGCTGACAAGAGTCAGTTTTTTGAAGGTCATGGTCACATCCTATTGTGGAGAGAGAGAGAGAGAGAGAGAGAGAGAGAGAGAGAGAGAGAGAGAGAGAATATGCAGATTGAAGTCAGATGACACTAGAAGCAGCCCTTCTGGAGTGCTCAGCAGCTCTGTTCTGGTGTTGGCTGGGCTGGAGCAAGCCTGAAGGTTGAAAGAGAATGTTCGCATAGACGCCTTAAGAAAATGTGCCCACGGAATGTCCAGGTGAATATTATCCCCACAAATCTATATACACTTAGAACCTCGGACTATAACCTTGTTTGGAAATAATGTCTTTGCAGTTGTAATTACGCGTCTATGAGGTTAGACTAAGTCCTAAACTGATGACAGGCGTCCATAGAGAAAGGGAACAGCCAGAGGAGGTGGATGCCCAGAAAGAGGGTGAAGTAGCTATGAGCTAAGAGTTGCCAA